AGTTCGCCTTCTTCGTGATCACCATGATTCTTATCGCCATTCTGAACGGTAAGCATTTTTTTATTATTATTATTTCGAGGTCATCTGAGGTCACGAGGGGTCATTTTTTTCTCTCCGTTTTTGTTTTGATTCTTTGGATTCATTTCATTTCTATCAATTGTTTAGTTTTTATTTGTATTTTTTTAAATATCATTTGTTCATTTAATAAGATTATTAGGTTTCGTTTTGTTTATAAATAGAGATTTTTATAGTGTTGTGATTTTTTGTAACATTTGTTAGAGAAGAAACTTTAATCCATTTTTGTTCCTGTGACGGTAGATTAAATTCGTGAATTTATTCGAATTCTCAGATTAGCAATAACTGCAACGTAAACTGTGCAAAAAAAAAAAAAAAAAAAATGCGAGATGCTTTTCTGATTTCGAATTTGAGTTGTGATGTCATCGAGAGATTTTGATTCATTTTTCAGTGCGTATTTTTTTAGTGAACATTATTGGTTTATTGGTAGGCTGTCTACTTCTGTAAATAATGTATATCTTCTAATCTTCTATCTGTCATTCCGGTGACACACGCACACACACACTCACGACGCAGGCACGCACGCACGTACACATGCATACACCCACATACCCCACTCCCCGACATACACACGTATGAACGCACGTACGCACACATGCACACACGCACACACACCAAACGCACGCACAACACACACACACACACACACACACACACACACACACACAACACACACACACACCACACACACACACACACACACACACACACACATACACATACGTATATAAACAATGTACACACACACACACACACACACACACACACACACACACACACACACACACACACACACACACACACACACACACACACACACACACACACACACACACACGTATACAAACAAATGTACACACACACATTCAAATACACACATAACTATACAAACCTATTTCAATATGGCGCTGTGTTTCCATTACCAAGTATCTACGACAATGACGGAAATTTACGCTTTGCATTTTAGACGATAAATATTAACCAGTAATGGAAAAAAAAGTGGAAATTCCGAAAAAAAATTGGAAAAAAAATGAACCAAAGTATTTTTTAATGCATCTAGCTGTCCTTTTTAGCGATGCATCTTTCTCTTTCAATGTTGAATGAACAATTGTTTTTGTCATCATTTTTTTAAATGTTTATTTATTTATTCATGTTATTAAATCTTTGCGTTCGCAGTAATACAAGCACAGGATAAAAAAGACATAGACCGAGACAGACAGGGAGACAGACAGACAGGGAGAACAGACACAGACAGACAGTCAAAGAGACAGACAGACAGACAAGCAAAGAGAAAAGCAGATAGAAAGACGGAGGAAAGACATACAGACATACGGACAGAGGAAAAGACAGACAGACAGACATAGATACAGACAAAATTATTATTCTTTGGTTATACTGATATTGATGGTGATGTTAATGGTGATAATGATTACAATAATTAAAATAATGGTTCTTCTTCCACTTTCTTGCCCTCCCGTTTCCCTCCCTCCCCTCTCCCCTCCATTTCCCCTCCTATCCCTACCATCCCTCTTCTTCCTCTCATATCTTTCCCTCCATCTCCCCTCTTCCCCTTCCGTTCTGTCCCTTTTCTCTCTCCTCATCCTCATCTTCTCCCCCTTCTCTCCTTTCCCCTTCTCCCCTATCCTCTTCCTCTCCCCACTTCCGCTTCCTCTTCTTCTCCCTCTCCTCTTCCTCCCCTCTACTCCCTTCCTTTTCTCCTCCTCTCCCTCTCCCTCTTCCTTCCTTTCCCTTCCCTTCGCTCTCCTCTTCTTCTCCCTCTTCCGCTTCCTCTCCCTGTCCTTTTCAACTCTCCTCCACTCCCTACCTCCCTCCCTTTCCCTCTCCCCCTCTCCCTCATTTTTCCTTTTCCCTTCCCCTCCCTCCTCCTCCTTCCCTCATCCCCTAATCCCCTCCCCCCCTCCCTCTCCCTCTCCCCTCCCTCATCCCCTTCCCCCTCCTCATCTCCTCTACCCCTTCCTTCCTCCTCTACCCCTTCCTCATCCCCCTCATCCCCTCCCTCTCCCCTTCCCATCCCCTCCCTCCCCTCTCCCTCCCCTCCCTCATCCCCTCCTCTCCCCTCCCTTCCGTCCCTGCAGTGTGCGTGGCCGTCCTGCAGGGCTCCTCGTACGGGCTCGCCGGCCTGTTCCCCGCGTCCTGCATGTCGGGGATGCTGTCGGGTCAAGCCATCTCGGGCATCTTCTCGTCTCTCGCTCGGATCATCTCCCTGCTGGTCGGGGAGGAACCCGTCGTCAGCGGCCTCGTCTTCTTCGTCATCGCGGATGTCTTCCCGTCGTCAGCATCGTGGGTTATGTTTTACATGAACGAGATGGTGAGCATCTTTTTATTATTTATTATTTTCTTCTTTTTTATTATTATTATTTTCTTCTTCTTCTTCTTCTTCTTCTTCGGGGGCTATGTTTCGTGACGAGGATGGTGAAGATTCTTCTTCTTCTCTTCTCCTCCTCCTCTCCCTCCTCCCTTCTCCCTCCCTCTCCCTCCTCTTCCCTCCTTTATTCCCTCCCTCCTCTCTCCTTCTCATCTTCCGTCCTCTTCATGGCTGTTCGCTTTATCATAGAGAAATGAATCGAGAAAATTAGTACAAAGATAAAAATACATTAATATACGTAAAGGAATAGATGTACGAGTGTGTTAATCTTTCTCACTCGCTTAACCGCCTTTATGCTTCATTTCTAGCACCAACACAGCTCGTTCGCTCGTTCGCCTCCTCTCCTCCGTCCCCTCCTTGACTCACTCCTTTAAATCACTCCTCTCTACTCCCTCCTTCCCACAACACTCCCTCCGTCCCTCCTTGACTCACTCCTTTAAATCACTCCCTCCTCCACTCCCTCCCTCCCTCAACATCCCTCCGTCCCCTCCCTTGACTCACTCCTATAAATCACTCCTCCCTCCCACTCCCTCCTCCCTCAACACTCCCTCCGTCCCCTCCCTTGACTCACTCCTTTGAATCACTCCCTCCCTCCACCCCTCCACCTCCTCCCACAACACTAAAAAAAGTCTAAAAAAATGAGGGAAGGAAGAAAAAAAAGGAAAAAATCACAACAAAAAACAACAACACAACAACAACAAAAAAAATCAAAAGACCCACTCCATCTCCTCCCATAACACCTCTCCTTTAAATCACTCCCTACCTCCACCCCTCCCTCCCCTCCCACAAACACTCCCTCCATCCCCTCCCTTGACTCACTCCTTTAATCATTCCCTCCCTCCACTCCTCCCCCTACTACACTCCCCTCCACCCCTCCCTTGACTCTCTCCCTTTAAATCACCCCTCCCTCCACCCCTCCCCCCTTCCTACAACACTCCCTCCTTTAAATCATCCTCCCCTCCACTCCCATGACCCACTCCCTCTCCTCCTACAACACTCCCTCCGACCCCTCCTTGACTCACTCCTTTAAATCACTCCCTCCTTCACCCCTCCCTCCCACAACAACTCCCTCCATCCCCTCCATAACCCTCCTCTTCCCTCAAGCACCCCTCATCCCCTCCCTTGACTCCCTCCTTCCCACAACACTCCCCACCCTCCCATAACTCCCTCCTCTCCCACAACACTCCTCCCCTTCCTCCCCCTCCCACAACACTCCTTCCCTCCCTCCCTCCCTCCCACAAACACTTCTTCCCTCCAACCCTCCCTCCCTCCAACAACATCCCTCCATCCCCTCCCATAACTCCCTCCTCTCCCACAGAACTACTACACCTGGTGAAGGCAGAGCGCGAGGGAAAAAGGAGCAGGCTGAGTACAAGAGTGACACGCAGACCTACATTTCTGTGCTGAAGAAGGTGAGGTTTTTGAGATTCTATTTCTCTTTGTTTGTTTGTTTTTGTGGTTAATTTCGTTGTGGATTTTTTTTCTTTGTTTTTAGTTTCTAGTTTGGCCTTTCTCTCTCTCTCTCCTCTCTCTCTCTCTCTCTTCTCCTCTCTCTCTCTCTCTCTCTCTCTCTCTCTCCTCTCTCTCTCTCTCTCTCTCTCTCTCTCTCTCTCTCTTCTCTCTCTCTCAGTCTATCTTCATATCTAATATCTATCTTTTTCCTCTCTCCCCCTTCTCCTCCCTCTCCCCCCTCACTCCGCAGAAAACGGGAACAAACAATCACACGGTGAAGTGTCGTCCGTGATTTTTTGCAATTATAGCCATATAAGGACATTGCTGAACACGGTGAGAGACGTGTGCGTTCATTGTGATCCCAAGGTCGTGTTAATAGTGAGGATGTAATTCTGAACAGTTGAACTCAGCCAAAAAATCGAGTGAATTTGGATGCCGACTGCGCCTTCCTGTCCAGGCCGGGGTCTGGACATGCCCTGAGGCAAACTGGGAATACCCTTCCTAGACTGACGTCATTTTCACGTCATGGTATGGGTTGCCACATCAGCGCCCGATTTTTTTTTTTTTTTTTTTTTTTTTTTTAAGATCTATCGGGTGCCTGTTTTATGGAAACAGAAGTAAATCCAGCGAAGCGAGCAGCGATGAAACAGCTATGCTCGATCATGGCGGATCTGAAATCACCATTCCTTCCGAAAGACAAGAGGAACCGCAGAAGAAACAGAAATTAATGATAGCTTCCGGCGAAGATTTGAAAGAGGACGGTGCTATGGCCGCGCAGGACAGTGAGGATGAGGAATGCACGTTAAGTGAGAAGCAAGGAAGGAAAAAAAAAGATGATGGAGTAAAAACAAGCTGAAGAATAACACAAGAAAATATGATGGGCTTTTTTCCTGAGTCTCAGAGAACCGGCAAAGGGCTCCCGGAGCAACGGCCGCCACCGCTTTCGGCTTCGAGCGAGGAGGGACCATTTGAATTTCCCGCCAAACACCGACATTGCTACGAAGGACGAGAATGGCGCACCCAGACTGTAAACAAAAGCCAGCGAACTCATAAACAAACATGCCAAAGTACCGCCTCCCGAGTCACT